GGGTCTGAACCACAAACACACACAGAGGAAATTCAGCTTTATTGTGCTGAAGGAAAAGCATCTATCATACATTGTTATGTCACTTTGCAATACACGTGACCACCCTGGATTACTGTATTCCTGAATCCCACCAATTCTATCAACATGTGTGAATGTTGGATTAATTCAGATGTGACGTGAACAATACATAGACTGTAACTGTTAATAGGCTGCCATTGATTGTTACTGGGCTGTAATACAGCAGTGTACCTGTGCTGTTGTTCCTGGTCAGGTAAACCTTAATGAAGTGCGTGTAGACAGACATCTGCCTGGCAAACGTCAATTGTGGCCGGAGTTGACTCAAAATCTGCAGACTGAGTTGAAATTGGGATTAGATTAATTAAAAAATGGCAGGCTTTTGGTATACCAAGAAAGGCAGTCACATTTGATGTAATTTGTATAGTCTAATTTCTTACATGGCCTGGTAGGAGCTGCAAGTAAGTTCCCTTGTGGCCATATATGAAAGGAAGTCAGGTGAAACAGCTGGCAGAAATGGGAGAAGGCGGCGGCCAAACCACGTCTGGATGAAGGTTAGATTATTGAGGGTGGCTGTGTTGACAGTATTTATTCGGAGTTCTTGTATGGTGTCCAGAATCACGGACACTGCTGGGTTGTTGGCGTCCAGAGTCTATAACAAAGATCAAAATGTGATGTAACTACTGACTTTTCTTATCTTTCAACAACAGACGGTTTGCAGAAGGTTCTTCTCGTCTTACAAAATATTGTGTAATGCTTTCATACCGTGTTGACAAGCAGATCCAGAGCCTGGTCCAGGACCTGAGAGGTTTCAGAGAGGACAAGTTTCCAGACAGATTTGGACCCACTCGAGCTGGAGTAGCGGTTGCACTTCAGTATCATTGCCAGCTGTTCTGCTGTTATTGTTGACAGCTGCGTGACGACAGAGAGCAGTTTAGACTCTACAGTGAAAGTGAAAACGAGCTGAATCACAGACGGCTGTTGACTTATGTGACGCTCTTACCGAGGCACAAGCCAGTTGCTCAATGGCCAAGTCACAGAGGTTTCCACTCGTCTGTGCACTGGTGAGTTGGAGCTGAACTGCTGTTCTGTGGTTTCAAAATAAAACATATGATTGGTACTTTGTTGACATCTGGGACAACGTTGCATAAAAAGTAAACTCTCCAACAGGTTCGTGTAAATCCTACCTGTTCAAACCGATACAGATATCTGTTGCTGTACCACAAAAAAAAAGAGAGAAAAAAAGTTATAAATTGACAAAAAATTACATTTTATGCATCAACACAGCAGGATATGAGATTTCATGCTGCCATCATTAATCACACTGCAGATCTCGCAAGTAAAAACCAAGTTCCCTTTCACCACCAATGTGTTTTTTGTTTTGTTTTGTTTTTCTTGTCAGTGCTTCTGATGTAAGATGATCTCTACATACTCGTAACAAAACAGCAGGATATGAGACAAAATGTTTAAAATGAGCAATTGAAAGATTGAATCTGCAGCAGAAGGTCCACCGCTAGCTTAACATTTCATGTTTTCCTGCTTTATTTCGGCCTCCCTTACTTCTTGTGCTCTCGATTAACACTTGGGCCCTGCTTGGGTACTGCTGCTTTATCTGAGGTGTCTTTGAATATTTTACCCCATGCTACCTTTTGTAATACTTACGCGTGGTGCTGCTGGATCCAGTTGTTGAAGTTGTCCCCAATGATGTCAATGAAGTTGCCCCTGATGTTGTTGATGAATTTGGCCCCGATGTTATCGATGAAGTTGCCCCTGATGTGGTTGATGAATTTGGCCCCGATGTTATCGATGAAGTTGCCCCTGATGT